GAGGTAAAACTGGTTATAATAACAAAAAATGTAAGAATATGATATATACATGTATACAAAAATAATATTTACAGTTATAACCAACAATGATGTGGAGATGCGTATCGCGAAGAAAGGATGGTACATTTCAACGTTCAGTTTTTAATAAAGACACATGGAATTGTAGTTATCTCAATTTCAATAGCTTTTGTCTAATCAGTTACAAAAAGACACTGGTCAAAACACTCCAACTTCAATTCAAAGGTGACGATGTCACAGGATCAATCAATATGAGACTAAAAACTGCACTGACAAGAACTTATCCTGCAGCAAAATTGATTGTCCTGTCCAATCTTTGTTCTTGCTCTCTTTATTCTATTTAACAACTAGATTTTCCATTTGAAATCGAGTTTTATTCGAGCAAAAAAAACACTTGATTGATTTGTTGATGTTATACATATTACAGACTTGCTGTTTCACTGATCTGATTTGATCTTATCTGATACTTTTCGATGTTTCATAGTTTAGAAATTCAATATCTAGTTCAATACTATAAACTAGAATGAAAAAGAAATTAGTCTGTACGTTTATAGAATCGTTTATGCCAGTAGGCTGAAAACACACGAAAAAAGATCTATATATGAATAATTGACAATTTTCATCTATTTCGTGGAAAAATAATCTACAGATCTTTTCATAATTAGCTTATTTGGAATAATCATGAAAGTTTAACATTTGACCTTGTATATTCAACATGTTACGTAATGTTTGAATGTTTCATTTTATTGTAAATATTTCTTTATTAGATTTAACTAATTCGTTAACTAACATTCTGTACTTATATTGATCTGCCTGATTACTATAAAGTAATGGAAGAGGAATTATTTGGATAATTTATTCGTGGATTGGTTGAGGTTAGACATTAACACGATTGGATGCCGGCTCATTGATCCACTAGGTTAAGCGTTCACGCTCGAGACTGAAGTCCATGGGTTCGAATCCCGCGAGCGGGATCGTGGATGTGCACTGCTGAGTAGTCCCACAATAGGGCGAAACGACCGTCCAGTGCTTCCAGGTTTTCAATGGTGGTCTAGCACTAGTCGGTTCATGTTCTCAATCAAAAATTTTATTAGGGTTTGACTAAAACGTAACAATTTTTAATTGATTTATAAAACAATTACTTTTATTGGTTCTACAAACGGTAATATGAAAAACATAATGTCAAAAATCTAACAGAATAATGTTATTGAAATATTATCTTAGTAATAAATCATATTCAGTGGAAATGAACATCTTTATATCCATACAGTCATATTATTAAAAGTGCTTATCGGTGCACATAAGAAACAACAAATAGCACTGTAATTTAAAAAATATAGACTATAATCATTCATAAGAACGGATAAAAATGTAAACAAGCTATTTGGTAAATCAATGCGTTGAATTAAGTGGTGAGATTATAATTTATGGACGTCCTATGAGTGACGCTAAAGTGACCTTAAGAATATCCATCTACTTAATAGAGCTGAGGGAATTAAGATTATGATTTATTGTTGATGATTAGCATTAGGAATTAGATTTAGGGTTTTCATAATAAACTAAAATCAACTAAAATGTCAAAGCGTTACCTAGCGAAATAGATGAATGAAATTCTCGTCGAAATCTAAGACTTGTTATCCTAAATTATAGTCTCACTACAACCGACGAATTCGAGATAAAATCATATTCACCTATGCAATTATACTCTTTACTAACTAATCTGTCCGATTATCACAAATGGGAAAAGCATATGTAATGTACAGTATGTAGAGTTAATTATTCCTATATGGTTAACTGGAATTTCTTTCTAATAGATGGACGTGATTCAAACAACCTCACGTATATATATATATATATATATATATATATATATATATATATATATATTGCATAAAATGACCAAACATCATAAAACTCACTTAAGTAGTACGTTGTTACAATAACAAACGATTTCTTGAAGCAAATGACTTACACAAAAAAATTTCCGAAAATGTCTTCAGCACAATACACATATCTTTTGTTATACAAAACATATTTACCTATTAAATAAATATATGTGTTCAATGATGATTCTCTTCTCAATTCATTTGACAGTAATGAGATTTATAAACTTAACAATCTCCCCGATTCCATATTGATAACTACATACATATATATAATTGCTACCCACAAGACAAAACATTTCTTTCACATATTTCATAGAATTTAAAAATATAAAAAAAAAACAAATTCTAAAACTCTATTAGTCTAATTTCGTTGGCATTTTCATAAAAGTGTGTTTTTTTGTTCAACCAGATTGATTTACTAATTAGACTATCTAAATAGATAGGGGATAAAACTAGGCCATATTTTAAAACATCCATTGATAATAAAATACAATTTTTCAATGAATTAACTTCAATAACATGTGACTTTTCTATTATTATTACATAACTGAATTAGTTATGTAAACTATACATTTGATGATTTTATAAAACAAGAGCACTTTTACAATAAAGAATAACAAATTCATTACTTTATATAGAATATTTACTGGACAATTATGTCACATGTATAATCATCTGTAATTGTAAAATTATTCGAATATAGAAATACCTACAGTGTTTTTCTTTTTTTTGTAAAACAAAATTCATTTTCAGAAGTGGTTTTGTGGAGATTTTTTAGCAATTTCAATAATTGAAATCATGAGTCCACTGAAACTAGACCACCATGGAAAAATTGGAAGCACCGGACGGCCGTTTTGTCCTAGTATAGGACTCCTTAGTATTGAGCATCCACGATCCTAAATAATAATACCGATGTGATGTATATAATTGAAGAATAAGTTGATTGTTTCATTATATTTCTTTCCACTAAATAATTGGTAGTTAGTTGATAATTCACTTAGTTATGAAATAATTTTATAAACACAATACATATATAGAAGACATTACATAATTTTCAGGTTTGTATAGTAAATTAGCTATGAAGTAGACTACTTAGTTGAATTTCAGTAGTTGTATTTCTTTCAACAACTCAATTTATTTAAATCTACTTTCTCGTTAAATTAATGAAGATAAATCCAGTTAAAACATTATTCAATTTGGTTTAGAACTTTATATCTGAAATCTATGATTATTAAGAGAACTAAACATGATGATTCAGTTATCACAGTACGTATGTAGTTAATCTGTTAGTACCTTTATTAATCAGTCGACTACACAGTTTTTTTTGGTAAAGTATGAACATATTAATATTTGTGTTACAGCTTCTTCAATCTGGTAAAGATTAAAATAGGTGTCGTAATATACCCGAAACAGTATACGTCTAAACATAGATGATACTGTAACTGCTTGAGCCAGTGGGACCGACTTCTAACATTCACTCAAGTGTGTTATTTTATTACTTTTATCATACAGTTGTTCAGACAGTAAGGCAAAACGTACATCATTGAGAGGCGAGGGATTACTAAACTAAATAGTTGTTTACTTCACCCTGGTTTCCAGTTGTACCGCAAATGAAATCAGACTGTAATGAACACTGCCTTAAAATTAAGTCGATGCCCACAAAACCCCTTCACAGAAATTACAGGATTCGTCTACAATTGTAATATTTCTTACTATTCAATCAAAATTAGGTTGAATATATAGTGGATTTACACTGATAGTCGGTTAGAATATTAATAATGTATTTGTTGTATGAAATAGCAATATGCTTTAAATATTATTAAGAATCACAAATACATAGGTCTTACCATGAAGAAATGTTTTGTGGAAAACGTTTCCTTATGGCGCACGAGGTTGTTTTAGGCTCATCCTAATACTAAACTCTTACCGTAAGCACAAGAGTTAGCAATAACGAATAGATGCTAAGAAAAGTATACGAATGTCTATTTCCGAAGAAACATAATGAGAAATATTTATTACTCACAAATAATTGCTATTAAGTGAAAAAGTGAAACCAACATGCTGGAAAGTAGTCTGATACATATCTTCTTATTGGTAGATAATACGTCTTCTAAATGTCTCATTTTCAACACCTTTAATACTAATCGCCTAGAAAATTCTATTAATTCGTACGTACATCAGTTCGAGTTGCCATACCACATTAGTACAGAAATGCAGTTGTCGATTCAAATCCCTTAGTGCTAGTAGTAGTAAGAGTATAAGCAGTAATTTGAAATATTAGGGTTTGAAGATGTATTCAAGGAGTATAATCCAGTGAAATAAATTTAGAAAGAGAAAAAAAGGGACACGAAGAATTCAGAAGATTAGATCACAAATAGTGGATGCACCTGCGCCATTGCAAACGATTTTGAGCTATGTCATTCAAGATCTCTAATTATCGGTTGCTATCGTCTCACGGATCTTAACAAGGTAGTCTACACCTACTAATATTAATATCAATATCATTATAGCGGTGATCGTGTTGGATCATAAAAGCAAATTGAAGATATATATCATATGAAAGCAAATAAACTTTCATACATATTTAAAATCATTTATTTTTCATTGTTTTACATGAAAAATCCAAATTGTCAAAATATTTGACACATGTACATCATAATGAATCAAATAAACAAATAGATAATGATTATTATAATTATACTGAAGTCCACCATTACTACATAAGATCTTGATTATTAAATAAAGTACCATATTTTCAATGAACAATTTATTATTTAATATTGTTTTGTTTATTAACTCTACAACTGAATGAGTTATTAATGAAGTTATTTGATTTTCAAAAATATATATATGATTTACCTGCTTCTGAAGAAATCTATGTTTGTTTTATCATTGTTCTTTGATGGCATATAAATAGTGAGAAAATAAAAACTGAAGAAAAAAAATCTACATGAATAAAGATTCTATGAAAATAGTTTGTTTCATTTAAGCCTTCTAAAGGTTATTGTTGAAAACCAGCGTTTATACAATGATTGGCATATAACTTGGTTGATTTGTTGTATATGTTTTGTGTATACGATCAGGTAATAGAAGTTGAGTTATTATATATATATATATATAATATAGCATGATTTTCCTAAAGGTCATTGGGAAATTAGGTAGACATCAGTTATAAACAGAGAGAACAATAAAATTCAGTTAGAAAAAACACTAGCTGAAATTGTTATCTGTGGCTAACATGAACTTTATATACAAAAATATATTGTAGAACTAAATTCAATTAATTCACAGTTCACTACCTTGATAAAATATGTAGATGTATACTGTATGTTGAATAAAATATTCAACTGTTCTCTGTTAGTTTTTTTGTAGTTGAGCATAATATTGATTAAACGAAATTGACTATCGTAGATTCATGAATTGATGAAAAACAATTAGAATGTTATGAGAAGAAAACCGAGAGTATGTGATTACTTTTTTAATGTAATAGAATTTTGTTTCAAGGCACTGGTTATTGTTGTATCATATTGGCTGTTAACACTACTCTCGTTATGTGAAATTGTCTTTATGGATCTACTACTACCACTATTATTGATATTATAAGTAATACTACGAACTTTTGTATTTGTATGTTGTTCTTTATTGTCAACATCATCATCTGTTTCTAATGATGAAGAAATAGAGTGTGATATATCATCTGATTCTGTTTCACGATGATAGAAATAATTAAAATTTGATACAATCACAGGAACAGGAAGTGCAATAGTTAGTACACCAGCGATAGCACATAATGAACCAATTAATTTACCCCATACAGTTACCGGTCGCATGTCTCCATAACCAACTGTTGTCATTGTTACAACAGCCCACCAAAATCCATCAGGTATACTACGAAATAATGAAGTGTCGGCATCAGCTTCAGCAAAATATACAGCTGATGAAAAGAGAATAACACAAATAAGTAAGAAGAATACTAGTAATCCTAATTCTCGGACGCTTGCTCTTAGTGTTTGTCCTAAAATTTGTAGTCCTTTTGAATGTCTTGATAATTTGAATATACGAAAAACACGAACAAGCCGAATAACTCTTAGTACAGCTAATGATGTTGTCTGATTAAGTTGTTTAGGATCATCGATAATTACAGCGCCAAGAGTTATGAAATATGGTATAATTGAAACCACATCAATAACATTCATTAGCACTTTGAAAAATTCAAATTTTTTCGGAGATGAAGCAAAACGTACTAGTAGTTCACAACTGAACCATACTATGCAAAATGTTTCAATGATGAAAAATGGTTGGTCAATTGTTGGTAAATCATCTTCTTCAAAACTTAATTCTTCATAACATAAAGTAGAATTATGGTTATTCATTATTTTATATCGACGAAAATGTGGTAGAGTTTCCAAACAAAAAATTATAATTGATAAGAGAATAACAAATACTGAACCAATAGCCAATATACGTGCAGCTAATGAACTTTCTGGGTATTCAAATAAAAGCCAGACTTTGCGTTGAAAACGATTTCTTGGTAGAATTTTTGGTTCCTCTTTAATAAATCCTTCTTCCTCACGATATTTGGCCAATGCTTCGTCACCTAATTCATAGAATTTTATTTCTTCATTGAATACATCTATTGGTACATTAACAGGTCGTCGAAGTCGTCCACCGCTTTGATAAAAATAAAGTATACCGTCAAAACTTGATCGATTTCTGTCGAAAAAATATTCATTTCTTAACGGATCATAATAGTGATTACGTTTATTGGGATTACCTAGTAAGGTATCAGGAAATTGATTGACTGTTTGTGCTTGAGTTTCAAAACGTAAACCGCTTACATTGATTACTAACCTTTCACTTTCAATTTCTGGACGAAATATTTCATCTGAAGTGAGTTGATCAATTCCTGTTTCCTCTTCCAGGTTTTGATTTATTCTGTAAAAATAATTTAAATGACTCTTATGACAGCTAAATATACTTTCAAAAAAGCTTATACGGTGAATAGAATAATGGGATTCACATGTTGATTATGTATTATAAATTACAGTGATATCAGAAAGCCGATAATTTTTTATTAAAAAAACAAAGTAAATCTCAAATTTGAGTTTATTTTATTCATAATCAGAACGTCGAGACTGTTATGAGGTACACTGAATGTTGTTGAAATTGAAGAGTTCATTTGGTATTTAATAAACCTAAAAGTCAGTAGAGTTGTGGAGATCGTCGAATTGCAGTTGAGGTCAGTAGCCAATCAATGTTAGAACACCACTGAAAACCTTGAAGCACTGGAGGGTTGTTTCGTCCTTTCATGGGACTTCTCAGCGGCACACAGCCACGATCCCACACGAGGGACTCAACCCGAGGTGTTTGATCTCATGCACGAACGCCACCACCAGTGTTCTAGGGGTTAAGCGTTCGCGTGAGACCAAAGGTTCTATCTTCGGTTCTTGCGTGTGGCATCATGGATTCGCACTATTGAGGTGTCCCATGCTAAGACGAAAAAGTCGTTAAATGTTTCCAGGTTTTCAATGGTAGTCTAGCATTGATCGGTACATGATCTTAATCAAAACTTAATGGTACGAGAAAACTGAGGTTTTGAGACGAAGATTTTTCATTGTTTTTGAGAGACTGGTTTGGAGATACACTGCACTACTTAATTATAATAAGTGTCTCCAGAAAGTGACCAGGATTCTGGAGTCAATCAGCTAATTATTTATTTTTAGATGATCATTAATATGGAGGTGCTTATGTTGCACATTAAGCTAGTTGAATAATGAAATGTTTTTATTTATATTATGATCTAAAAAATGATGTATTCTAAATCAAATTTTATTCTTCAACCGATAAACTAAACTTCATGTACTATGTACATTTTCCAAGTGAAAACCTATTCTGCACACAACTTACTTTGATAAATGTCAAATTTTTAGATATTCTTTATAATAGCATTTATATAGGAGTCGAATTCTTTATCATGAGAAAGAAAGGATCAAAATTTCAAAGTTGGAGTATGTAGCCCATCTAAATAATCATCAGCTAGAAGGAATTCAATTTAAACCTTGAATGTCTTTTACATATAATATCAATCACAAATAGCAATTGGTTACTGTCATTCGTGTATTATGTATGGGATAACATTCAGAATAACAGCGAATTAATTGCAGAGTAAAATTTAACTTGTGTTAGAACCAAGAAAATCATATTACTAAGTGAAAATGTCAAGTATTAAGTGTGAAACTTCTATGTAAATGATTTGATTTGATCGATTTATTCAAAATACTCAGAAAAACTCTTTTTTTTATTACTTTCTAGGGCCTTTTATTTAGACTACTCAATAATTAGGGAGTGAATCGTAACAATTATATTTTTGGGATTAATTGACTAAAACCCTTGAATGTAACAATGGTTTTAACTGATCACTATAATCACTAACTTTTGTGTTCTCTTCTTCAGAATTGTGTATTCTATCAGTCACTTCATATTACATAACTTTGTAATTTATTATTTTCTACCATACAAAGATAATACGCAGTATTTTACTCTTCTGGAACATGTATAAAATATAAGTATTGTAAAATGAAGTTACTGTCAAATGTAACCAAAAGTTATGCTTTTAATAAATAGAATAATTGTGATCCACCTTCTTCCTTTGAATAAAAATGAAGTTAATCTATCTGATTGGTTTAAAGATGCTACATAATGGACAACAAATTGGAATATCTACTGATTGTTACTAATCCATCATGTGATATTGATTTTAGTCAAAATCTATTATCTGATATTCAGCCCCTTCCAAATAATCCCTAATCAAACTGCTCACTTAGGTGTTTAAACAAGAAGTTCTAAAAATAACATCATTATCCGTGAACATTCATAATTCAGATTTTACAGTAAAATCTTCGGAGATTATAGATTCAATGGTGAGAATTGTTTTTTATCTATATGAATAATGATGCTATGAAACATAAAGCTTTCTACATGTATACAAATAGGTAAATCTTCTTTCTTCAGGCACATTTGACTTCATTGTGAACCAGAAGAACAGGACTTTTTCAGCATTGGGATCGCCTATAATTTGCTTGTTATTCGACATTATATGAATGTTTAGAAATCCTCCAATATAATCACATAAGAAACGTCTGTACATTTATTGAATTCTAAAAGATTTAAATCTAATCCATGTATTTAAAATTACCAATACTGTTAACTCTGCTTCGACCTAGTCACCCCAGTTATAAGGATTACTTGCGTAAAATTTTCACATTCTTAATAGTAAATTCTCTTCTCAGTTTTCACCCTTCCATCTGAGCCCTACTTAGCTAACAAGTCTCAGCTTTGGATTTACTATTACGTACTCAATCGTATTAATCTTTTGTTTCTCGAAACTTGTTTTCGTGCACCAATTTACTTTCCTTTCTGCGATACTTTTGCAATTAAAGAATAATCAGTCAACTGCACGAACTGCTGTATTAAATCTCGTGTTTATCGTCTTCCTGAAAATCTTTTATGTATATCTAAAGATTAACCAAGGTTTTTCTATCAATGGAATATGAAATATATGTATTCCTTTGTTTAACATAATCAATTCTATTGTTTTTATGTCGTGTATAGCTTAAAAGAATTCAAAAAGTTAATGAATTCACATTCTTCTTCTACGATTTCCAATTGTATTGTAATAACTTTGCTCACAATAGGATAAACGGTATTGATATTTGTTTAAAAATAATAAACAGCATAGTTAAAACTAGTTAAATGAAGAAACAATACTTTTATTTTCCCAATGATAAACTTATGATTGAACATGTAATTTTTTGTATGGGTAACGAGAACTAGATACAACACTCAATATCAGATATTAGCTACCTAATAAACTATAGAAACTCAAAAGGGAATACAGTGAGTACCTTGAATATTGCTTGATGATTGTGATCATTTGACGAACTCTCTTTGCGAATGTAACAATAGATGTTTAAGAAAAGTGTATTTTTAGCTATTCACACTATAATGAATAAAAAACTGAACAAATGTTCATCGACTCTAGGACAAGGGTGTGCTAAGTGGGAAATAAACTAAGAATTCTTTTTCGTAAGGACAGAAGCTGAACGACATCATTATGTGCATATGTTTTCTCCATGTTAAGACAATTTAATTACGAATATATAACAACGACGAATATTTACAATCGTTACCTAAAACTTCGAGTGAAAAAAAAAGTTATAATACTACAATCGATTCACACTATTTAAAATCTGATAGCGACATTATTCTCTCATTAAGAAGGACAGTAAACGATCATAAATCATATGAATTTTAGTGAACTAGATGTTTGTCAAATTATTTCATCCCTAACTTTCCAATTATTGGGAAAGGTTAAGGAATGAATATATAACCGAATAAACACAAAAAGAAATAGGAATAAAATAATATAGTACTTACTTTCTATTACAATAAGCCAATGTTCCACGAGGTAACAGAAGAGTGGATGCTGTTCCTGATAAGGTGGACATGTGAAAAGTTTATTTGTGCTCATTTTATGTGTTTACATGACAAAGGTAATTATCTCATTATTAAACAAATTTTATTGTTATAGTGAAATGTTTTTCAAGTAAAATTACAATTAATTTAATCAAATATATTATTTACATAAGTTTTAAGGAAAGATATGAATTTGTTAAATTATTCTTTATTTATATCTTCAGTTCAATTGATTTATTAATAGATATCGATACATCCATAATCAGTTAAAGTGTCCTATATAACCCAAGAAAACTTGAACTTCAGTATTTATGGCTTTTAGAATCGGCTATTACATTCAATAAATAAACTGAAGACCTTATTTACGCATATCCTTTACCATGATTTGTTCCATGATAAGATCTATTTAGACGGTTGTCACAGTTATTTCTGTCGTGTTCATCTTACATATACGAATTTTTCATAAAAGTGAAAGATCTTCAATATATGTCTGTCTATCGATACTACGATCTTCACCTAATGCCTTAATGTCCAGTTGTGTATATGCACGTAAAAAAAATCTTTTGTAGATTTGTGCACGAGCGATATACAGACAAAACATTAGGTATTTTCTATTGGTTCATTCTACTTATCCCGATTTTTGTTCACACTAGACATTCTGTTATACAACACATTACTAACTTATGATCTTCGTATCAGTGGCAATCGCACCGGGTAAATTTATCAAAAATTATTGGATACAAAAACATTCACAATCGAGAACCTATTCCATTTGTCTGACAAACGTGATACATTTCGATATAATTTTGGAATCGAATCAATACTAACAGATCATTAGAAAAAGAAATACTATTATTCAAATAAGTATGTAAAGTTCAAACAGAAAAACCTTAATGTTATCCAAAATAAATCAACAAATTACTCTTAATGAAATAACATAACCTGTAAGTTAAATAAACAAAGGGATGGGTAACAGCTTAAATGACGACCTAATGATATTCACACGCACATGAATATAAATGTATGCAAAGCTAAAAATAGCCATAGTTCATAAAAACTGTCTTAAGTTTAGGTGAAATTTAGAAAAAAAAAAGAAGAGAGATTGTGAAATGTGCAATTATATGAAAACAGAGAAAATGCAAAAAAAATAAAAAATAAAAACAGGTATTAGACGAAAACTATAAGTTTATCATATAACCAAATCAACACTTGTGTATTTGAATACCATTAACAACTAAAAGTTCATTACGTTGTACTTTCACAATTAATAGTACAATAAAAGAGATATTAATATTATCAGTCTCTGTAATCGAATGAAACTCTAGACATTCCAGGATTATCACATTATTTTTATAGGTTGTTTAATAATAGTCTGAGATAAAAACTGAATGAATGAAAATTTTAAAAAATATCATAATATTTGTTCTAGATTCTACTTCTAGTCACTATCCATCTTTGCTTATAAAACTTGTGACATAGGGCAATATCGAAGCACGATGCACATCTGTCAATAAGTGACTGATCATTAGCAGTCCTAAATAACAATAGGGAGACACAAGTAAACAACATCAATTGAATTAGTTTTATTTTTCCTGAACATAAAGATCAATTCTAGCATGACTACTATGAGAATGTTTACCATTAAAGAATATGTTATTTTAGAGAGACTGGAGAGAACGACGAAGTAACAATCCAAGTCTAGATGAAAACGCTTGAAATTCTGCTTTTTTTTCAAAAAAGACATTGTATCCATGGTTGTCCAGCTTCAATTGGCTCATGATCTCAACCATTGAAATTATTAAAATCTCCACAAAACCCCTTCTCATAATAATCATCTGCTCACTAGTGACTGACTTCAAGAGACACTCCTGGAGTTCTAGTGCGAAACCGTGACCAGTGGAGTTCAACCAGTTCTGTTGTGAGATATCAGCTCACTGAAGACAATGGTGTACGGTGGCGCAGATTCGTAAATTGGTTGAAGTTAGACATTAACACCGTTGAATGCCGGCTCAGTGGTCTAGTTGGTTAAGCGCCTGGCGCGAGACTGATAGTTCTTGGGTTCGAATCACGTGGGGGGCGGGATCGTGGGTGCCCACTACTGAGGAGTCTCATAATAACGGTGGTCTAGTGTTTCAGATTTTCCATGGTGGTCTAGCACCAATTGACTCATGATTTCACCTACTGAAATCGATAAAGCATTAATAAAAGAGTGTTTAGATATTTGAATTTTGAAATTTTCAAGTTTCCTTCTGTCATAATCTTAAGTGATATTTGATAAATAAAAAAATATGATAAATATGATCAACAAGGTTTATAGTTTTATAGATATTGGAATTTAATTTCAGTACGTTCATGGCTTGTTGCATGTAATAGAAAATCATATTGTACCTTCAGTGTGATACATATGTATACTGTTTTTAATAAATAATATTATTATGTTTAGGTTGTAAGCAGCTGATAAGAAACCACAAAGTCATGAGCAGATTTAAGCTGAAAAAACATTATATAACTAGGAACACTGGATGGGCGTTTTATTCTAGTATGGGTCTACTCAACAGTGTACATTCAAGGTCCCGCACCTAGGAATCGAACCCAGGCCCTTTGGTCTTGCGCATTAACTATTGACCTTTACGCAATTAAGCCCGTTTCCGACGGTGATAATATCTAACCTTAATCAATCCACAACATTGCGCACCATCAGCTATTGTTTTTGGCGAGTAACTCCTTTACACATGACACTGCTGAACTCCACCAGCCACATCTAAATCGAACTCCGAACATTTCTTCTCAAAGTTAATCACTAGTAGACACCAGGTGATTTTCTCAACAAGGTTGTGAGTCTTGTTGAATTTCACTGAAATCGTGAGCCGATCTAGGCTAAACTACCACTGGAAACCTGAAAGCACTGAAAGCACCTCAGTAGTGTTCATTTATGACCTCTTAATCGAGAATTATTCATGATATTTTGTTATATTAATCGGTTTTTTCTTTAGTTAAACGACCTAGAACTTCCAAGAGTTCGACTAAATAGTAGATAAATTATCAACGTGGGTTTTATGGCTTTATAAATCTTCCCTGAACATTTGGACTAATCTTAAAAATGGCAAAGAAAATAAGGTATCGTTCAGTTGATAAGTGGTTTTATTGTTCTATGGGCTATTGGATTAAAAACCATTAGCTCATGTTTTGTTCTCTTTATCCACATTCTGTAAAAGATTTATTATGATGAACAACACTTATTTAGGATTAATTTTTATCTAATCAGGTTATTTTACTATTATTAATCAATGCACTAATTTTCTCATAACGATCATAGAATATATGTACACTATAATATAGATTTCTTTCACTTTTTATGGTACAGAATGATTGAGTTGCCTAACAGATTTACGTACATACAGAATATTAACGGCAAATTTCAACTAATCTGATTATGTGTGTTGGGAGGGGTGGTATTCAAGTGACAAATTACTGACTAAAAAATATCTGTAAATATATGAATGCAGGTACATCCAGCTGACGAGTCCCAAATAAAGTGAAACACGCGTCCTGGATTCCACTAGTAGCCACCATGTATCTTTACTTATAATGCTTGTGAGTTGAGACAATAGTGAAGCAAGCCACATTGAATACACATATGCCATTGAGGGACTGATCAATTGTAGTTCTAAACATCAACAGGAAGATCCAAACGAAAAATACAAAACGAATATAAGAAACAGTGGCGAGACTATAATTTGTGGATGAACTAATCACGTATAAGATAACAGGTCTCGGATTTTGTCGCGAAATTCACTCATCCATTTGGACAAATAGATTTTTGGCATTATAGCTGATGTCAGTTCATGACGAAAACCCAGAATCTAATTCCTAAGTTTAATCATAAACTGTAAATTATAATTCTAACTCCTCACACAGGTTCATAACTTTCATTTAGTCAAGGTCAGTCTAGCAACTGTCAAATTATAGTCTCGCCGAAACAGATTATATTGTAATGAATTTGATAATTGAATTTGAACTCATGTATATTTTTTTGGTGAATCACATGAATGAGCTATTTGTGCACTTCATTACTTAGTCCGAACAGTGATCATATTATCTATTTTCTATCACTCACCAAATAAACTGATAAAGGATGATATTAAGGATTGTATATCATGGTTTGTATCGTCAACATATCTCTCACCTATAAGCATTACAGATAAAAGTATTCATGGAATAATTCAGGTAATTGCCATATGCTTATTTTTCAACATTTTTTTCATTTTTTTAAGTACCCAAATAATTCAAAGATATATTGACAACAACTTACTTCAAATATGTGGATTATTATTAAGGAAGGATTATTTGTACTTAGATTGTTGTACTATATAGGCTTAATAGATTTCACTGCTAATGTACAAATAAGCTTGTCTCCTGGTGTGAAGTATAAAATGGCTGATACGAATTTTAATTCTTTCAAGTTGATTAAATAAATAATAGGATAATTAACTATAAATGATTTCTTATTAAAAAATCTAAGTAGGCAACATCTAATTCATGTCTAGAAATGAACTCAATGAGCAAATTTGTACTGTTCAACTTAAGTTTTTTTTGAAAATTGAACTTGAGCTGAAGGAATACATGATAATGATCAGCTTTCAACATTTGCCTATCGCGCTGTGGACGATATAAGAGCTTGCCAGTTGTTAAAATAACAAATTATGGTTGTGGTTAAATTGATTTTAATTCATATATAACATTCCCGGAATATTGTTTTAATCATCAATTAATCAACCTAGAATTTCACGTTATGAATGGAAATGACGAGTTCGAATTGTGTACATAGAATCATTAGATTTAGATGAGGAATTCACTTATCGTTATTTAATATTCCATTAATGTTATGAAAATATACACACTATGTGTTATAATACCTTAACTTGTGAATACATTTGGCGTTTTTCATTTTTGGGTTAGCGCGATGCTTCTAATTTCTAAGAAGTACATGCAAAGAAATATAAGAATATTTATATTAAAATTCAATATCATCATTTGACCATCAAACAAACTAATCAAAAGTAGCTTTGAATGACCAGTTTCTAAATACATTATTTTTTCAGTAAGATTCATCATTAAGTTTTAAGTTACATTATTGTACTTAACGAAATATAAAAAATATTTTACTATCAAAAGTACATAGAACACAAAATTAGTTGTCTAGATTATATAAGTGATTGACATTATGAAGAGTCATCGTTTCTTTTTATATGATAATCACAATCTTTAAACCAACAAGTGAAGTTATACTTTATTTCCAAACAATATTCTCATTGTTCAATTTATAACATTTCCTTTATTCTAATAATTTAATTTGATTTAACCAGCTCTTATGTTAAAGAGAAGAACTAACTTAAACATAACACATTTCATAGAATATACATTTCTATAGTTATAAAATAACGTTTATAAACTATGTATTAATCATTGAAATACTACTATTTTTCAATTACTTTTAGTTATTAATTAAAAATTAACACCGTTG